TTATTTGAACACTTGTATCTTAAATAAACTCATCTACGTTCCATTTACACAATTATTAGAATATTTTTCAAACAATATGATGCATATATTATGGCCTCTGAAAATCCCATCTATTGTTCATACAAATTACTCGAGTATTTGTTAAAAAATAACGTACCTACTCTTTGTATAGTTCAATTTAGAAGTTCACTGATTTACGTAATATTGACGAAGTACATTTGTTTACTGAAAATTGTTATTTATTTATTTCTTATGAAAACAGGCGTTTTAAAATTATAAAAAAAACTCTAAAGTTGTATTAGCATAAATAATTTGATTAGATTAAAAAAGTTCTACAACCGATTAGAAGCTTACATAAATTGTTACCTAATGTATTGAATTTTATTTTTTATGCATGCATCTAATTTTTGTGCTAGTGATGCTTAAATTATTATTTATTGGCAAGTTTTTATTTTCTATAATAGATTTATAAAATTACATTTTATAATTTTTTTAAATATGTTGCACTGAAAAAATCATAAATTAATTACAACTCAACGTACAATTAAAATTCTCTTATCACTTTACTTTCGATGAAAACTGATGACTGACAGTTTAACTAGAAGAGTAGCTGCTACTTAAGTTCGGTGATCGAAAGGTTACTGGATCTGTATTCAGTAAACAGCGTTTCGTACCGTTTGTTATTTTTATGTTTTCATTTATTTTTACGATATTTTTAGATGGTTCAGTAAAAATATTATTATTTTTGGTATACTTGTACGACGAAAAGTATGCCTCGTTGAAAGACGAACTCGCGAGGCAAATGGAAAGATAAGTTTAGAAGGGATTGACATTTTGGTATAACAATTTACTGTTGGTGAGCACTGTTGTTCAGTAACACTGTAGATTGCAACATTATTATTATTGTCATCGGAATAGATAAATGTTCAGCTATAAAATAAAACAATTTTATGGAACTTGGCTTTCTCTTTACTCCTCAATAAGACATTGCCCACAAGTACTCTTCAGAAAAGTTTTAATACAATATTACACTTTCACTAGACGTTGCTTAACGAAAAATATCATGCCCGTATTTATCACACACGTTCGTAGTTTATTCATCCGTATTGATCGAATCGCTACAGCCATTTATTGTATTTTACGAGTTTTCCGCCTGAATTTTTTATTAGTGTTCGATCGATTTGAAACGCTATATTATGTATGTATTATGGTTGTTTAATAATAATTTATTATCGAATCGCATAAAAAAAAAAAAAAATAATCGCCTATATTTGCTTCCATAAATTCTGAACCTTAATCTTGAGGGATTTCCTTATCTTCTGCATTCTACCGAAAGTCTCGAGCGTGGTCCCGCCATCCAGTTTATAATTCATACAAACGAACTGAGCGTTAACGTTCTGCAACTCAAAATTGACAAATTAAAATAAATTAAATAACGGTCCTTCGAGACATGGAAAACAGTAATTGATGTGCAAAATTGTGTTACATATTTTATGCTGCGATGTTGGCATTGAAACCAACAATGATAGATCATCGCATTCGTTAAACGATTATGAGCATGTTTGGAGTTAATTATAAGATTTATTTGAAATTATAAATATTAATTAATGATAATGATACATCTCTTCAATACCTAGTTTACTTTTCTGTTACATTCACTGTTATTGTGTATTTTCTGAGAAAATCGAAATTATTATAGTTCTTCAATCAAAAGTTTGAACTTCTTAGAGCTTTTAGTACCCGAAAAAATGTCAACAGAAAACAAAACATAATTTATAAATTGTCATAACGGTTCAACCTATGTTTGAATAAAATTACATTTTTTAATTAACAATAATATAAGAGAAACAGTATATATAAGAATTAAGAATACAGTTATTTTTTTAACTTTTTTTGTCAGGCATAATCATACTTGTTACTATATGGAATAGTAAACTGGACAAGTCAATTTAATTATTCTTACAATTTAATAAAACAATAATATAAATCAATAAATGCATTCATAAATTAAAGTAAATTACTTTAGTGTTAGGATTTCGAATAGATGGTTTCTGTTGCTCAGTACTTCTGGGCCCCTTCCGCATAGATATCTGGTTGGCGAAAATCGAGTCTTCAGTTTACAATGCAAGGTTCTGGTTGTATTTGGCAAATTTACAAGTGTGCCATCGTCTTTATTATTAGGCAGTAGCAAGAAGCATCCTGGTCATTAAGTTATCCCCATTTCAACATCCTTAGATTTTCCAACTACATCTCTCAGTCGATTAAATGCCTTCCACTCGTGCCGTTGTAACTCTTGGGCGGGAGGTCAGTGTTCTGCCTGTCCAATCCACCCTCTAGTGTTCAGATACAATTAGAGTGTGGAGTGTGCTCCTCATTTCGATCGTGTTAATTTTCGAAGTGAACCGATGCTTGTGCATATCATTTTACTTGTCTTTTCGCAGTGATATTTATAAGTCAATATTCTGTCAAAAATTACTCCTAAAAGTATGTTGGTGTATCGCAGTCTTCCCATGTTATATAAATATAATGTGATTTAATTGACGATTAGCTCCCCTGTTTTTCATATGAAATGCATATTGAAGTGTATCGTTGGGGTTCGTTTTAAAGTATTTTTTTTTTTTGTAATATTTGTTACCCAAAGTGTTGCTGAGTTTTCCTTAAAATATCTCAAAATTACTGTCCTGCACTGTACTTGCTGCTTCGCCTGCGTACCTATATACACATTTTAGATTTGTCCTAGTTTGATATATATTGGTCATTTATATATACGTTGTAAATTTTTGTAACAAAAACACTGTGCTTTGTGGTAGTCCATTTTTCGAAGTCCTCTATCTGTTGTGTTTTCCTGCTATAGAGTGACAAATAGTTCGTCTATTACTCTATAATTTTGCCAAATTTTAAATTTTGTGTACATGGTAGTTTCTCTAACAGCAGGCCATCGTTGACTGTGCCATAATCCACTGAGAGGTCAATAATGCCACGACGTTTATTTGCTACAAACATTCAACTGTCATATTTGTTTTAAAAATAGATAGTTTCTTTATTCAAAACAGCATTAACGTGTCAATTCGATGAATGTTTTTACCTCATCTGCCCGAGTAACCAGTGGGAATAAATATTAATTTATCACATTACTATTATTTTCCGTAAGTTGTAACCATAAGCTACCATTAAAAACAAAAATTTCCAAATAATCTTAAAATAATTTCGGAGATTAGCGGGAACGAAATTCGTGACCCAATATATAACATTTATATATTTTATATAATTTTTAATAATTATAGTATTATTATAATATTATATCAGATATAGTTTTTTTTTAATTATCTTCATAAACTAAATTCTGTGACAATAATGCACACACATCAAGTACGGTAACTGTGGTCCACGGCCGCTTAAAATTTGAATAAAAAAAATATTTAGAAGATTATTTTAATTATTTTGAAGATCAAGGATTAAAATCAATGCCTCGATAACTTTTTTTTTTGAAAAATGAAACGGAAAAAAACATAAAGTTTACAAGCTCTAAATCATATTAATACAAAAAATCTGAAATACTTACTTGTACGGATAATAATGAAATGTAGCCGCATTATGGCTTGATTATCAGTATTCCGTTTCTTTGAAAACATTACTATCGTTGAAATCATGATTTGTCGTGTTTGAGCGTATAGATTGTATCACTGGAAAACACAAATTCATTGTTGCTCAAAATACTGATTTATTGATTTTAAATACCAATTCCGTTTATTGAAACAAAAATATGAACAGAATGTAATGAAATATGAAGAAAAATTAAAATTTATGTTTTAAAAAAAATTTTTATTATTTATTATCTAGGTATGTCATAATTTAATATATATAAAATGAATGGGGTATCATAATATCTCCTACGGGTCTTCTAAATGGGTCAAGTTCAGGTATTCCTATAGGGCTTGTGTAAATGTGAGGGGCTGAATCTGATGCAGTGGTGCATAAACCAAATTACATTAATGTATAAATTGTGAATATTGAACGAATAATTTTTTTCATTAATTATAAATAAGTATTATTTTATAGTTTCGACGAGTAGATTGGGACAGAATCAAAAATTTAACTCGATAAAAATTATTATACCACGTCATTCCGCCTGTTATCAACGATGTTAAGCATTAACATAAATATTTAAAATAATACACTCTGAATTATTTTTAGTTTAGGTATGTACTGACATTTTCTAAAAGTACAATCTGTTCCAGATTACAAAGGCAATAATGTTCCCGAAAATCTAAAAAGAATAGTAATTTCACCACCGTTTTTCACAAAATTGTGAAATAAATACGATTTTATAAAATTCTAACCTTGCGTATTTTCGTAACTACATATTATCGTGTCTTGAATTTGTAAACATAAACAAAAAAAAAATTCGAAATAATAAGCATTTTAATAATAATAGCGTGTCGACGGACAAAACATCACAACTCCCTATTTATTATAAATTCTAATACTATGAAATATAATTAATATTATACATATAGGTACGTTACACCGTGGTTTCCGGATAACGACCGCGTAATTCTATAATTATTGTTATTACGATAGTAGCACCGCATTGCACTGCGATATATATTTATGTATATATTAATGCTATATTACACAGGGCGATACTTTATTCATTGATTTTCTTGTTCATATCATATTAATATATCTTAAGAAATTTGACATGTTAAAATTCTTAAATTTTTTTTACCGTTATAGACATATTTATAACACGTTTGGTAGGTAATTTTTGTTCTATATTTTGATTTCATTATCAGTGTTTGTCCTAGAAAAATACATAATTATTACTCTTAGTATTTTCTAATAAGACGTTTTTATCCGGTACACGGCAAAACCAATTACTGCCCGTAGTACACACCATACGCAAAAATACTAATAATTATAATAGTGATCAAATTTTAATTATAACTCGAGTGAACACAATATTATTATATTATACGCGTCACTTTGTTTTTTTGCAGATGGCTTGTTTCGAGATATTGAAGAACTTCTCGTTTATGGTCACCACGCAGGCCATGCAAGTGAAAACAAACATGCTGCTGTCCGTGTTGAAAATCGCCGAGGTCGACATACTACTTCCGGTGTCCAATTCGCGGACTTCCAACTTGTCGCCGGACACGTGCACGGCGACGCTGTTACTGGTAATTATTGCGGCGGCGGTCCTGTTCTAGAAGACTTACGGCGCCGCTCGGACGTTACGATGATATTATTATTGTTACCATCATCGTCGTAAGTCTTTATAATATATTATATATAGAGCGTCGCGTCGAGTTAACTTTTCTCTTGTAAATTTATTGTTGTTTTTATTTTTTTTTTTTTTGTGTGTGTGTGCGTGTGTGTGCCACCGATCATACAGTTAGTAGGTATGTGCCGCCGACAGGTAAATTATGATGGTACTGCGATGGTATAGGTTCGATTTGATCTGTACGGAAAATCACTAAATTGATAATAATGTTATTACGACTTACAACTGATGTCGTCGTATAGGTGATCATCACTGTTCTATCTTTTGTTTCCGCGCTATCGTAATAATAATTTATTGTAATATTGTCTCGATGTACTCGTAGTCGTGGGACGCAGTTGCCACTTTACGGACTGCTTCCAACAATGTGCATCCCCCTTAGCGGTGTACGTAAAACGGATATTATTATTTCAAGCCTATTTTCGAATCGCTCAAATATTTAAATTACCACGTTATACCATGTTATACATTAGGTATAGTGTTATTTATAGGTAATGAAATAATATGATAGTTTAATATTACGATGAGTATGATACAACACGAGGGTGTTTAAGAGAGTGTTTCACGCGTAGGTACCTAATTAAGATATGGTATTTATAAGTATTTCCAAACGTTACTTGGTAAACAATTGTAAAGGGTGATAAAAATGTAATATATATACAGATTCGATGTCCTAAACTTGCATGATTTTAAAATGTACGTCATAATGCATACAACGGTCGAATGATGATCAGACACGGGGTATGAAAAATAAATAATAAAAATGCTATTAAAGTCTTAGTGTCCGGATGCCGAGTATAAAAAACACCAAATGTATTAACTTCAGAATAACACTAAAATAATAAAATTATTATTATTATTATTATAGTGTCAACGTGGCGGTAGAAACTCTAATTGCCCTAAGGCTTATAATACGGCCAACCACTTCCCGGAACTCGGCAATTTTGCAATATTAATTTAGAAAACAGTGGCGCAGACATTGTAGGCAATCAACAGACGGTTGGGGTCACCGCCTACAATTTCATGAGACGAAGGTAATCAAAATCCGGACATTTTCCTAAAATATATTTTCCGAAAGCGCAACCATACTATAAATACAAAACATTAATTATTTGTGCCAGTCTATATTTGTTTATTTTTCTGGGAAACTCAAGTTTATCCGTGACCTTTCTGCCCACCTCATAAAGTTATTAATAACATTATGGTTTGACAAGACTAAACAATAATGTTTTTTTTTTTGTTTGGTCACAATAATTTAAAATAAGCAAATTGTTTTTAACAAAATATTATACAACAAACAGCATAACAGTAATCGAGAGTCAATCTGGATAACCCTATGAAATAATCTGAGATCCTATTGAGACAGGTTGGAACCACTGAGAATTCGGGAAAATACATATTTTAGAATGGAACTCAAGATTAAGAACTGTAGTTCATAACATAATATTTAAAATTTATACTGGCACTAGGGAGGCATATAATTGGATTTAACGGAGGATTTAACGTCAAAACAAAAAAAAAAAACAAATATTTGCACAGTGCACACTGTAAATTGTATTTCACTGATTCAAATGAATTAAATATAGGCACAACTACCTTCTATATTAAAATTATTGATACCGTATTCTTAAGGGATCTTTAGTGCAAGAATCTCGATTCTTTTTTCATTAATAAATAATACTCTTATAGTCTAAACGTGAATGGTATCATAGGTATCGAACCCTGCCGTAGCTTTCATTTTTTAACATTATCATATCTGTTTTAACTTCGTAACCTAAAATATTGTTTACAGTAAATAAATACAATTATAACAATTTTTATAAATACAACTTAGTATCTAAAATTATTTAAATTCATTTTTACGAACATATAATAAATTCACTGAATATTTATTTCCATACCATCTTATAAATACCAACCAAAATACTAAAACAAACTATATTTTTTTTATTTCATCATATTTTTTTCAATTTTGCTGAGTGATTGTTTATCGTTTTCGTTCAAAATTACTCAGTATTCAAATATTTTTGTAAGTTTAATTTTTGATTATTGTTAGGCTATAAAGTTAATTGTCTGCACCATTTGAGATATCTTCAGATTAATTCATTTTCTATAGTCTTCATGAATAAATAAATAATAAGCATTTGACGATGCACAGATTAAGGAAAGGAAGAAGATTTAAGCGGCTTATTCTATTTTCAGCCTAAAATTACATCAAGATATGGAAACACAAACAATCATTGACAATAATCCTTCACTGCTACAATCTTCCTTTGTCTTCTGTAGTTATTTTCAGACTTTATTATAGCACTTTGACTTCCTCGTCCAACCAATAACTATTTCTATGTAATTATTATCTGTAATATTATCATGTAAAAGTGAATTTAAGCACTTCAAAAAAATTGTTATATTTATCACATTTAATATTATGGCACATAATATACTGCACATTGTCAAAACTGCCTACGATGACCTTTTTTTTAGTTCAGCGTTTCGATGACAATTACCAAATACGCTTATTCACAAACACATATTATCGTAATACACTACTAGAGGGTTCTCCATTCATATCGACCGGATATTTTATTTATATCGTTTTAAATAATATAATAGTTTGTTAACTGTAAAAAAAATATGTTTCACCCCATTTCCTAAAATTTTGGTTCGTCGGACATAATACAAGCGTGTTTTACTCCCCAGTTAAGGCATACTAATAATAATAATAATAAAGTACAAGGTAGAGTGGGCTATACAGTATATATCAAGCTGGACCTGTTGGTGGAGGGGAGGTGGAGTGATCCCGAGTACACACACGAGCTTGTGAATAAGTAAAACTACTGAGGAGACGGTAGTAGTGTTCTTCAGAGCTATATTGCCTACTAAATAATAAGGCACGAAAAGTCCACTGTGTTTATAACGATATGCGCATAACAAAATGATTGGACGTCGGCGTCACTCGCCATTACGCTGTATCAACAATGCCCAATTCCAATCCTAGATCAATTCCAGTATAGAGGCACTTTGGCTGATACTTGGTTCTCAATCCCCGTCGATGAAATAAAAAAGGTCATGTTTGTATAAAATATTTACGTTATGGATACACATAACTTAGTGATTACCGTAGTTATGATCATTGGATTTGAAGTAAAACACTAAAATTGTACACCTAATGAAAATATAAATAATATGTAAACTGTTTATAAGCTTTACAGTGATGTAGTACCTTTAAACAAAATTTGAATCCAAAATAATAACAAACTGAAATTAACATATTATAATGCTGACACTATATAATAACACAATTATTTGCATGACACTAATTTAGTTTCCAAGCTGGCTAAGGTAATAAATTGTGAACAGTGTGTTATGAAAATACAAAATAAATTTCCTCGTAAATAACGAAATAATGCAAAGAGCAATAAATGTGGAAACGAGATTAATTTTTACACACGTTACACAAGAGGATCGATATTTTATCAGACAACTATTCCGATATTTTTTTTGCTCAGATCAATTCACTATGTTTCCTGTTTTTTTATTATAACAATTTCCCAATCAAATATTTTTTGGATTTTAAACTACAATAGTATAATTTACTCTCGTGAAATCACCAGTATAATATCGTAAAGGTACTTTAGGCCAGTATAGGTAGAAGCACAACACTAAAATGTAAATAGATAGGTACACAGTACGCACAAACATACTCAAAGATACACACAAGAACAATATAATCATTTGAAACAATAATACAAAGTAACACATTGTAATAAATAAGAGACAAGACGACCATACACGAAACATCCTCAAGCGATATAACATAATATTATAACATAGGTACATGAAATATAAATCTGGAATGTTGCAAAGTCCGGGACCTAGCTAAAGCCCTTGTCACCACGACACACCCTCCACCACCCCTCATCCGCCATCCGACGTACCAGTCAGAGTGCGTCCGCCAAACCCAGACGTGCGTATCCCGAGCTTTACTTTTCGGTCAAGGGCCCGCGATAAGGACGACGACTAACACGTGCTACGAATACTGACTTTCACAAATGAGTGTGAGTACGAGCGAACAGTGTTTAATATTATACTGTGGGGAATAGATTTTCTTGGGGTGGTCGGAAAAGCAAAACAGTAAGACGCGCGCTGGAAGCGAACCCTTGAACATCGACTTTTCCGCAGCATCGATATTTTTTATTTCCGAGATTAAACGCAGGAAACACGGTGTATATTATCGTGGTTTTCGATTCTTTGCGCTTTTAAGACGGCTGCGCAACGCAGTATCTAGTATTGTACCTACATTATATCGACTGACAAAAGGAAAAAACAAAAACTTGACACATTTCACAAGTTATTAAAAAGGTATAGGTAATATAATAAAACGAAAATTAGAACAAAAAAACATTGGTATAAGTAATTAATGACGAAATTAATGGTATCATTCAATCGGAAAAATGAATAATAATAAATTATACGTTTGATTCCCAGTGGCATGATTAAGAGGGTTATAATAGTGTTGAGTACATCTGACCATTTTTAAATTTTTTTTTAAATATGAAAATATATTTTTAATTCAAGATAGAACTAGAATAGTTCCCGATCATTTGAAATTTTAAAAGTCCTGCATTCTCAAAAATTCAACTGAGTGTTTACTTTTTAGTTGAACTGAAAAGCGAATAAGCTGCTACTCTCTCATTTTGTGATAAGATCTGTGTTAATTGAGGTAACTTATGATTTTGACTTAAGCAACGAGGGATACTACATTTGTATTTTTACCTGTAAACTAAATACCATATTACCGGGAAAAAAAATTGTTCACTTCCATTTTCTTATTGACGACGGGTCAAAGTATCGAAGTTACACCACTGCAGCATACTGAACTCATTTTTAATATTATTTTTCTATTATAGTTATGTGTGCACACGCATATGTATAGGGCTGTATTCATCGGAGAATATTTTGTTGGACGGTGGATCGATAGTTTTTTAATAATATAACATGATAGGTATATAGAAGCCGGTTAACTGATAAATAATAATTAAAGGGATTCAAAAGCAAAACAGACCTTTGTTTTTCCTGAAAAATGACCTATTTTAATTCCAACACCAGTACGGTCGATATAATTACACAATAAAGATTTTGAATACGTTTTTGAATGTATTATCTTGTCTCCTTTAGATTCTACAAAAAAACATATTTTAACATATTTGGTCATTTTGACTAACATTTACCTAAATTTGACTTTCATTATTTAAAAATGTTTAGTTGTGAAACAGTAAATAATATTTATTTATTTATATATTTTTAGAATAATAATTCTTGAAATAAGTAGGTGAAAAAAGTAAATATAATAATATTCAGTCGTTAAAATCTGTTTTCAATATTAAAATCACTTTTTTGGATTAATCGGGGAACATAATAGATTAAAAATTGATAAATTTAGCATTAATAACATTTTTCTTTGAATATTTCCTATGTGAAATCCATCTATTCTTTGTATTTCATAACCTTTAATATCGTAGCAGTGGATCCAAGAGAGACGAATAACAAAAACATATTTTTTGCAATGACAACACAGAAAATAATCATACGGATCATGATGCTAGCCTCTTAAGCACACAATAAATCGACCGACAATAATGTATTTTGAGGTCGTCCCAGTCGTCGAGTAAATATAATAATAATTAGGTACAGTACTCACTTCATAATATTATTTTACGAGTAAGGATTTGTGTGTATGCAATTCATGTCACGTAGCTGTATAATACTGTTTTAAATAATAATATTATAATATCGCGGACGTCGATCCACCGCCCACCATCAGCGTTTAAAAGTAAAATCGTGCGTTTTAAAAGTTTCTTACAAACTTATTATTATTATTATTATTATTATTATTATTATACCATATAACGTAGTTAGTCACTCCTTTATACTGGACTTAAATACCAACCGTATTTTTCGTTGTTTATTAATTAAGTTTGTCAACTGTAGGTTAAGGGAGTTAAGTAGCTAGGAGTTATAATATAACAATAATAATAATAATTCATGAAAGCTTGATACTATAATTTATATTGTAAACATAATTGGATAGGTTAGGTGCTTTGAGTGTTCGTTGAGGTATTCTTACATCATTTTTTTTTTCACTAATTTGTGTTCGATACACTTTAAAATGTAAAATATTTTTTTTACGATTTGTAGGCATGACAGCGAATACATATATTTTATAATATGTTACATTAAAACTATGTTAGTGCAAGTTATTTTTTTCCAGACATTAAAATTAATTAACACAATCTACATAATAATTAAGTGTTTTCAGTATATTTTTGTTCAAAAGAAGCAATAATAATAAAATATTTTACTTTTTTCTTCTAAACGAACTTTCAAAGTAATTTATCATAGTGGTTTTATGAAGGTAGGTATATTCACAGTGTGAGTGAACTTTTAGTATATGTATTGTAATATACAAAAAAACTAATTTTTTTAATTCAAAATACAACAATTCAATGACCATTCACAGGATA